TGTGTTAGATTAGCAGATCAAAAATTTACTAATCTGCGAAAATTTAGTTGCTTTGTAATCGTGGGGGTTGGTGGGTGAATTGAGCTGAAGAAGAGCCCTAACTTTTCTTATTACCTGCGATTCAAGAAAGCTATGCTTTCTTTCTCTGTTTTATCAAGATCACGCTAATTTTACAATTAAAAAGGAATAAAATTCTCTTAGTTCATTAATATTAAATAAAGCAATTCTATGAGTAATAGTACTTTAATTATTACGCAATATTTTGTGATAAACAAATTTTAAAACGGTATCTGACTTATTAGCCGCTTTACAATTTCTGAACAGTAAATAAGTTATATTTGCTTTATAAACTTTATGTAGAACTGTGCCTAGTGATAAACAAATTTAAAACGGTATCTAACTTATTAACCCCTTTGCAATTTCTGAACAGTAAATAAGTTTATAAACTTAATGTAAAACTATGCCCAGTCAATATATTAAATTATAAAAAAAGAATATTATTAATAACATTTCGCACCATTACTAAACATTCATTTTGGCTAAAAACACTTAACGATTTTTTCATAGTAATAAAAAGAAAAGAATTTAAAAAAACAAAATTTTTGCAATGATTAGATATAAATTTTATCCTAAATTAATCAGGAGCTGAATCAGTGTTAATAAAATAAAAAAACAGGGATCTTTTTAAGTAATAATTTTGAATTAAGAATCTGTTTATAGGGAAGAAATAAAAATGATGATTGAGTTGGTGAACAGCTCCTATTGAGTAAATAAGAAAGGTATGTCTTCTTGCTTGATTGTATTTAGGTCTCGCTATTTTGAGAATTAAAAAAAAGAGTTATTCGTGCAATTCTTAAACATGTAATAATAAATTGAATAGGTGAGTTACAATTTATTGATGAAGTTAGAGCATTGTCTTTTTTAATCATACCCGTCAATATTGCATAGTTATATCATTGTTAGTACCTTTTATTCAATTAAAAGAGGCATTTAATTAGGTTAAAAAGTAAATAAGAAAATATTTATATCTAAAACAGATCAACGTATTTTTTTTTTTTTATAATTATTTATTTCTTTGCGCATTTGCTCATTTTGTGTAGTATTTTTTTCCTTTATATCAGTGTTAGTGACTTATTGATTTATATCCCATGATAAGGAAGTTTATATAACAAATGTTCATCAAAACTTAACTTATACAATTTTCCCAATTTAGTCTATTTTCAATGTTCATTTCAAAGACAATTAAGAAAATAATAAAAAAATACTTATAAAACATAAAACAAAATAATTTTGGTAAAAATCAAATCAAGGGAAAAAAGAAAGTATAAAAAGAATTCTATATTTGCATCAATGAACATTCTTAATAATATAAGAATGAAATAATTGAAAAAGAAATATTGTTAATGAATCATTTAAATTTTATAAATTGCAATGAAGGATAAATAAGAATAATTGTATGGATCTGGAAGAGTTTTTTCCTTGAAAACACATTCCATTCCTTTGTAAAGTGCAAATCCCGAGTAAAATTTGAAACCATATGCTTTTAAAGTGCAAAAACCGGTCCTCTCTGAACTACGTGTAAATGACGAATGAGAGAAAAAATACGACAGGAATTTATAAACTTCAAAAATAATTCAAATACACCAAAAAGGCTGAAGTAGCCAAGTCTTGTAAACACGAACAACAATTAAATGATAGCGAGACCAACGATAATTGTCTTTTTAAATATTAGCAGTGGCTACTGAACGCCCTTATTTTAAGATTAATTACGCATTGTTTCGTGTTAATTTTTAAATGACTTAATGTTTAATTTTAATTTTGAGAAGTAATGTTTGAAATTTTATTTAAATAATAAATGTTAATTCAAGAATTTTATTTGTTGATATCGTTTATCTGCTGTTTTATCTGCTGCCGGATGTGGTTTCTGGTTACAAAAAATTTAGCATCATTACCTATTGATATGTGTTGTCGAAAAGAAATTGTGAGGCAAAAAATGCGCAAATTATTAGTTTAAATAATATAACCAGAGGGAGAAGAGCCTCAAGGATATATCTAGAATCGTTCTTATGGTTGGAATACTGTAAAAAAGGAAGATGTTTTCGGGTCAAACTGCCATGCAGCGTGAGACCTGTAAAAGAAGTGAAATGAAGCTTGGTATATAAGCATATTGTTTTTATTAAAATTTGGTATGTTTTAAAAGCAGAAAAAAACTCAATCAAGTGCAACCTGAGGTCATCGTTATTACTGAAGTTTTTACCAGTTAAAAAGTTTCGTAAACACTGAAATAAATGATAAAATCGTGCAAGGCTATAAGGGGGATTTCAAATCATAAAGGTAACATGTCTCGCCGAGACAATGTGAGGCCTCACACATCTTTAGCAACTCGTGTAAAATTATTGGAGCTTGGTTGGGAAGTGATGTCACATCCCTCATATAGCCCTGGCCGTGCACTATCAGGCTATCATTTATTTTGAAGTTTACAAAAATTTTAAATAGTAAAAATTTCAGCACTGACGATGCGCTCAAATCGCGCTTGCTTGATTTTTTGCCGATAAGAATCAGAAGCTCTTTGAGCATAGAATCATAAAGCTACCAAAAAGATCACAAAAGGTCATCGAACAGAGTAGAATGTATTTGACTAAATGAAGTTAATTTTTCGTTTACTTCATACTAAAAAAAAACCGAAATAATTTAATGTCAGCACATTATTATGAAATGATTTTCTTACTGGTTTTTGATCCTTTCTGTTTTAATATATACAGGTGTAAGAAATTAAGAGAGTTTGCAGACTTGGTCAATTATTTCTAGAACTACTGGACCGATTTTAATGAAATTTGATATGTACACACATTGACACAATACGAAACAAATAACCATTCAACAATTTTAACACACATGCATGATCATGCTTAACACTCGTTGGAGTCGGAAGGTATGAAATTGCCACAGGACAATTCTGGCCCATTGTCACAGAAAATTATATACTGCCTTATTTCAAATATGAAATCACGCTACAAGGCCTGTATATCTCCAAGAGGGGACCATACCCGCTATTAATCCATTTTTTTGTTGTTGCTTATTTCGCAATCACTGTTTCATACCCTTTGATTCCAACGAGTATTAAGCGTGATCATGCGCGTGCTTACAATTGTTTAAGGTTATTTGTTTTGAATTGTATCAATGTATGTACATATCAAATTTCTTTAAAATTGGCCCAATAGTTCTAGAGATAATTGTCCAAGCCTGCAAATTCTCTTAATTTCTTACACCAGTTCATATAAGCTTTAAACCCTGTCGTTGATGGATTTTCAACGTGGGCTTCAACGTTGACTTCTTTAAGGACTACAACAAATGCTAAAAGTAGACTAGATTATTCGTTAAAGAATCATTAATTGAGGCCGTTTTTATCATGGAAAAAGTTTGCTCCGAGAACTTGTTGAGCTGAAGAAGTCTGTACTGAAGTTGTAGAAGATTGAACTAGAGTATATCTCTGAAGATTGCCATCTTTTGTTCATTGAGCTAATATGACATGATGCGTGTTAACACTATTTCAAAATTACACTCTCAAGTTGTAGTAAAAATTAAAGACAAAAAATGAGAATAAAGGACAGGAATCACAGCGATTCGAACCCGGGAAACTTGATTAAAACGCCAACGCAATAACCTCTGTCACACATTGTTGGCCACGTTTTTCAAAATCTGATACAATATGTTTTTGAAAATCTGTCATCAAGTCAGAGTAAATCAAAGGAAAGCTTCATGGTCCTTTAAAAACATTAGTTTAGTATTTTTCTATTAATATTTACTGTATAGGTTGAATAGTACAGTAAAGTACACTAATGTTTCATTCAGCAATTTTTCCGAAGTTTAAAAAAAACAGTGTTTGCAAGAAATATGTTTCCCACTACGAAATGAGATAAAATTTGAAATAAAGATAATTTAAATAATGGAATAGGCATTTGTAGAAAAAAATTAAAATAATTAGCTCTGCATTCCATCGATATGTAACGTTGTGATAAACTTATACGAATTTAGTATACTTTAATGTACTACGTAAATATTAAACATTTTAATTGTCTCAAATTTCTGTATTATTTTGAGTAACACACATTCAGACGTCGAATCTCTTTGTATCCATTTTATATGAAGGAAATTTGTTACAATTGTAACGGAGTACTTTTGGCTCTTGTGAAACGATTTTACCTTGTGGCGCCTTTTTTACAGCGAAGGCATGATGTGTTGAGCAATAATTAATGCTCTTACAGAATCCGACATCTTTTTATCCGCAAAATATTATTTTAATAAGCATGTGCTGAAATGCAAAAAATATTTAACTATTAATATATCCGCAAATAAATCTTATTTGTATTGTAGCACCATAAATTGGTGGATTTTTGTGCTATAACTTTGAATTTATTAAATATTACTCGAGATACATAAAATATCTGATTAACAAGCCATGATGAAATCTCAACTAAAACAGAAATCAGATATGAAGAAATAATTGTCATCTAGAAATACCTGGCAAACCTAGACGGGAGCTAGTGGCAGCTTAACGTCTATTTACCAAGCACGATTGCCTTGCTGTCCGACTCATTTGCATTGGTATTCTTACTGAGGCATCCTAGTTCCTATGTGACAAATGAAACGAGCCTATTGACAAATATCACCTGAGTACCGATGGAGCTCTCCATAGAGATTCGAAATCATTGAGATATTGGAAAGTGAGAAAACTTATTAGGCCGTAACTTTATCCCATTAACTTTTCGATGTTATTGTTGCTGTTAATTTCTTCGTTTAAATTTTTCTTGTTCCTATTATTCATGGCTTCAGCCATTGGAAATAAATATCTAAAGTTCGAAATTTATCACATTTGGACCAATACAACGCATTCTAGAATCTTCTGAATTGGAAAACTTATTTCTTGCTAACCCTGCACATTTAATTTCGTTTACTTTCTCCTGGATAAAAATAAATAGAGTTTAATTCTATATACTCACCTAAAAATATCTGATCTTTTATCTGGAGGACTAGGATTACTGAAGCTCGTGCATGTGGTAGTGGTAGTTGATTTATCTCTTGGAGGATCATTTGTCACTCGAGTCTTTTTAACGTGCCTTCTAGCTCTAGATCTTGCTGCCATAAATATTCTAATATACACAAATACCATAACAATAGCAGGAATATAAAAGGAACCTAGTGCTGAATATAGTACATAGCCTACATCATCACTAAGTGAACATGAAGGATGGTCTTCTTGTTTATCTTCCTTTTTCCAACCTAATAGAGGTGGCAATGATATTAATGCTGATAGAATCCATACAAAGCATATCATAAGCACTGCTCGTGTAGCAGTTCTTTTCTTTAAGTACTCAACTGCTTGAGTCACTGACCAATATCGGTCTAAACTAATTAGACACAAGTTATTGATAGAAGCAGTACACAAAAGAACATCTAAAGCAGCATGTATTTCACACCAAACGGTACCAAAAATCCAATAACCCATTAGCTCTTTAGCTAATGAGAATGGCATTATTATTAAACCAACTAAAAAGTCAGATACTGCTAATGAGGCAATGAACCAATTCTGAACGGTTTTCAAAGCTTTCTCTGTCGCTATTGCTATACAAACCAGCATATTGCCTACCACAATGACGACCATAATAATTGTCACAAAGAAAGCTGTTAGAATGATTCGAACTTGGGAATATCCACTGGGATATTGGGAGCCATTCCAATCAGGATATGATTCCCAGTTCCATAAAGTTTCTTCATCAGACACATTTCTGAAGCTTAAAAATGATGTTGTATTTGCTTCGGTCAAATAGTAATATTCGATAGGATGGATACTGCTGCTGTTTGTATAGTTTGATTCCATTTTCAAGAAAGGTTTCTTTGTCTTGTGAGTAGTGATCATTTCTTCCACATATTCATCTTAAGATTCTTCTTTACCTGAAATTTAAAATCAATCATTCCTTAATTCTTGTAATTTTCATTTATAAAGAATTCAAAACTTACACTGGAGGAACAAATTTTTTTCATGTTTCGTTGCATAATATTTTTTTACGGATCTTAGACACTTTCATATCGCTGATTTCAAATCTGAGATCAGTTTCTTTCTCGAAGCTACAGTTTTTGCAAAAGGGACATATTTAGTTTATTTCTTGTCGAAATCTACGGTTTTAAAAAGTTTACATATAAAAGAGGATCGCATAAATGTTGCAATGAATCTGAAGGGGAGTTAGGGTGCATCATCAGAATTAAAACTGCATGGGAATTCATGGCCGGAAAAACCATCATACGCCGCTACGGAGGCGTACCTGTATGAAGTGTTTCTTCGTGTCTTCTGAACAGGTAATAATAGGGAAGCGGCCCTACTCGCAAACGAAGACATTGCCGGACATGAGTTCCATTGCAGTTTTAAACCTATTCACGTGCCCCAACTCCCCTAGAAGTTAGTCGCAACATTTACGCGACCTCCTCTTATATATAACGTTTTAAAAGTTGTCCATTCCGACAAAAAATAGACTAAAAATGCCATTTTAAAAAAATCTGTTGTTTTAAGAGCAAAACTAATTTAATATTTAAAATCTTCACACCTGAATTAGGCAAGATCAAGCATTTGTAAAAATGCAACAAAACATTTGTTTCTTAGTGTTACTATTGGTGTAGCCAGAAAGTATTTCTGGGTGGGGTTTTAAAGTTGGTACTTTTAATATTTATACATTTTCAATACACGATCATTTTAATAGGAAACTTTTTAAACAGTTAGCTACTTTTAAATAAAATTATTGAATAATATCTATGAATTAATATGTAGGGGAGAGCATGCACATAATTTACTAGATATAATTTTTAACTTATCTAGTTGAACTTTTATCTTTATTTTGAACTCTTGAGTTTTTTTTTTCTTTTTCTACAGAGACCTAACCGATAAAATTTTTGAATTTTTTTTTGATCAGCTTCAGAAGAAACTTTATCGGATAATTGAAAAAACTGCAAGATTTTTAAGTCATCCAGCTCAAAATTGGTGATGTTTAATGCATTAAAATTTATACAAGTACAAGCACTGGAGAGATGCTGCAAATTTCGTGAGAAAAAACTCTTGTGTTTATTTCCATTGTATTAATTTTTTTAATTAACATCATTTTATTACATTCTGTGCCATCATAATGTAGTCTTTTATGATTGATCAGCAAAAGAATTAATTGATATGAATGATTTCTGAGAGGAGTTTTAACCAGAGGCGTAGAGTGACGGGGGGCGGGAACACATTTTGTTTTTAGAAAACTATACATTTATTTCAAGTTTTATTTATATAGACGGCATATTATTTTTTTTCTTCATGTTTATATATTTATATATAAATTTATGTATAAAACTTAATCTAGACTAACAGTTTCCTAAAAACAAAAAGTGTGCTGCCCTCACTCTACGCCAATAGTTTTAACCCCTAATCCTCCCCCATTGGCTACGCTACTCCTTACTAAATATACAGTATCCAATTAAAGAAAAGGTTAACTTTGTGCTATATATAAGTAAAGCTAAATAATGGGAAAACACAATAAACAATGGCATATAAACTAACATATAGTTTCGGTTCTAAACTCTTTTAAGTACTCAACTGCTTGGGTACTAAATCTCAAGTTCTGTTATATTAAGTATTCAATCTTGCTCAGCGTTGAAACACAGAAGGAAAGGCGGAAAACAGAGAGAAGTAAAAGAAATTTGTTCTACATATGAATAAAGCTAAACAATGAGAAAACACAACATTACATATAAACAGATATATTATAAGTTTCGATTATAAAATGCATCAAGTGCTTAAGTACTTAATCTTCAAGTTCTCTTGTATTAAGGACTGAATCTTTCTCAGCGTCGAAACAACGAATGAAGAAGGTGGGGGGGGGGAAACAAAAAAAATTATAAATAAATTGCCTCAAAGAAAAAAGCAGTGCAAACTTAAACAAGAAAATTAAACAAGTTTGGTTAGCTAGATGTTGCAAGATGTAAAAATTAAAAACATTTGAAAGAGAGGAATTACTTGAAAGATATGTTTAAAGTCAAGATATTACATACTTTCATCGCCCTACATAGCTAAACTTCTAATCAATTTTATTTCTTAAAAAATAAAGGCTCCTTATAATTGAAACGAAACCATAATATGTCTGTCGTTGTTCCACGTTCTTTACACGTTATTTAGTTTTATTCATACGTTTAGAATAAAACTAAAGAAGTGATAGCATAATATTTATTGAAGAACAGCATTTTCACAAAATTGCTGAAATATTCTGAAAGGATCTAAAATTTCTAAAAATGAATTGTATATTGTGTGCGCATAATAAAAAAGGAGCCCCTAAATAACTTTTGTTCTAATGATCAGATTTTACTTACTAACATGTCCTTCTAATGATTTAAAATTATTGACCATAAATATGCTAATTAAGTTATTCTAGCGATATTTTAAGTTACGAAATTAGACAGAAAAGCGTACTTTCTTAAAACAAACATAAAATTTTTTCCACCGGTTTTGGATTCTTCACTCTCATAATATAAGGATTAGCCGCAATTTGGAAAATATGGTTCGAATAATCAGATGTGGGGTTCAAAGTTTGGACCCCTTAATATAAATTTTAATTCTTGCGTTTTCAGCTCTTCTCCAAAATTATTGTTAATTCAAACTACTTTATCCAAAAATAATTTCATATAAAATTAAAATTAATAATTGTTTTCTATTATTTAATTCATTAGTGGTCGAAAACACATTTATTTGATTGAAACAGAAAATAGTCTTTTGTTTTTATACAGTGTTTTAAATGTATTTGAATGTAATCTTTTTAGCTAGCGAATTTTTCCCTTTTTCTCGGATTTGAAGAGGCAAATAATTTATAAAGCATTATTATTGTTTTCTATTAATAATAAAAAGCAACCATAGAAACAGAAAACACACTGTACAACACCAATCTTTTAAAGATGTTTAGGTAAATATCGAGTTAATATAAAGCCATAAACAATTTTTTGAGGTAATAGAAATTTAGATGATTATAAACATCTGTTGAATCAAGTCTCAAAACTTCGAATACTAAAAAATAGGTCAGTTTTTCAATGCTGGTTGCAAAATAACTATAAAGGAGAACTTAAACTTACTATTCTTTTGACGCAGGAGGAACACCAGTGTGCCTTTTATAAATTTTTTTCTGAAGCTCGAATTACAAGCAAAAATATATATTGGTGCTTTTTAATTATAAAAAAACAGTCTAATAGTTACTAAAAGACATGTTAGATTACCGGAATTATATTTGTACTAAAATATAAATCCAAAAAACTTGTTTGATTTTTTTCATTCATATTCAATAATTTATTAATAATTAATTTTGTAAATGAAATAAATTTGTTGGAAGTGGGTCACGTATGGAAGATTTCCCTTCTAATTCAGAAAGAAACACCCGCATTTCATGCAGTATTTTATAAGCATAAATTATTAAAAAGCTAAATATAAGATTTTTCACTTACTTTGATCTAAATTACAGTCCCTGGCCAAATTATTAGACGCACTAAAGATTCTATGTAAAATCTTAATTATCAGGTGATACTATACAGCTTTATTGTTTCTACACGACTAAAACCAGTTTGCACTTCTTTACGTTCCTGCATTGTAATGTAATACGTTAAAAATAATTACAAATAGGAAGTATATAAAAAATCACCCCAATAAAAGCCCATTACATGTATGTTTAAATATAAAAGCATTGCATATAAACTCGCGAAAAGCATATAATTATTAAAAACTTTAGTGCGTCTAATAATTTGGTCGAATTATTATAATATACTAACATAATACCTGACATAATAAATATTCTATATTTTTATAATATATCGTCTAATTTAACCAATTAATACACGAACATAAACAAGTGCAAACCGGTTTCAGTAATGTAGAAACAATGAAGTTGTATAGTATCACCCGATAATTAAGATTTTGCACAGAATTTTATAGTGAGTCTAATAATTTGGCCAGGGAGTGAAATACAAAATAATGTAAACAAGTATAAAAAAATATAACACAAGTATAAAAGTATACAAGTATAAAAGAACTCTGTAACAAGTATATTAAACAAGTATACAAGAACTCTGTGTTAATGGGTAAAAAAACTAATATTCACACCACTAACATTTCGATATTAGAGTGTTCCTTAAATTTTCTATAAATGTTAAAAATGTCATATTTTTTTAATGCAACAGTTTTTACGCTTTGAAAGTGAAAAACGTGTGAGGCGAACAATTTCAGAAACAGCAAGTGACACTAACAGTAACTTTTTTTTTAATATAGAGAAATATAGGTAGCAAACGATAAGACGAGGCGAATGACCTATATAGTTCAGAATTTCATTTGTTTTCTCAGAAAAAAAATAATTCAGAAAGAATTTTTATAACCTCTAGAAATATAATGCTTTCATTTTAAGTAAACATCTTCTTTGAAGATTCAGTGCTATCAAAAAATATTTGTCGATTTAAGGAAGCAAATACTTGGCATGGTTATTCTATACCAGTTTGAATTCCTTCTCTAACTGCATTGTCGAGACTTTCCTTAGAGAAATTTGATGTATTTCGAATGGATCGCTACATCGAGGAAACATTCTTCTCTTTGACGTAAAATAAGATTTGATTTGTAGAGCATTTTTGAAAAATTGCTTTGATCGTTAGTATAACTCCCGCATATAGTATCTTCAACTCCCGCAATTTTTCAGTGACAATATATGTTGTAAAATCAATTGAAAAAAATATTCCTGCCTGCTTTTTGTTTTATTGAACCAACCAATCTTTTGGTTCACTTTTTATTTTGTTTGAAAAATCGCATAAAGTCGTACGCAATATGAAGTCTAGAAGTGACCATATATGGCAGTAGTTTTACTTTCGTTACTTGTACCGCCGGTACAAGTAAAAAGTACGTACTTTAACCTGTACTTCGTTGCTTTTTGAATTTCGTACTTTTACTTGTACTTTCGTTCCTTTTTTAGGGAAAAAGTACAAGTATTTGCAGCGGAAATGTCGAATAAAATCGTTACTTTTTTCTAAAACTCGGTAAGCTTTCTAAAAGAAAAAATATTAAATTAAAAAAAAAATGCTTATGTTTTTTTAATTTATAAAATTAATGTGCAATATATATGCATTCACAGCTAGCTTCGTGTTTAAGTATCTTGACCTTTTAAAATTGTCATTCCTGAAAGGGAAAAGACGGCTCTTTTGATCTTTTTTTGACTGCAACTATCATTGTGAGTGGAGAGTTCTCCAGATTTGTGTGTCCAGAACAGTCATTATTCATCTTCTGAAAATTGCCTGCGATAAAGGATGACATGAATAGCAAAGGTTTTGAATACCGGTGGTTTTCATCTCAAGAAAAAGTTTCAGAATGGTAAAAAGTGCTCTTTGAAATTCTGTAA